TGCTTAGTAAAAATGATGTAGCCCAGCTGATGTTGCTCAGTGGTTGAGTTTCAACCCATGAACCAAGAGGTAGCTGGTTCAATTCCCAGTCAGGGCATATGCCCAGGTTGTGGGCTCAATCCTCAGTAGGGGGGTGTACATGAGGCAGCCAATCAATGTTTCTATTTCTCTATCCTTCTCCCTTCTTCTTTCTCTAAAATCAGTGAAAACATTTTTTTTACTAAATAAATAAAAATTATTTAAAATATAATTCAAATCCTTGTTATATTGAACATATTTGATTAAAATTTTTTCAATATTAAAACAATAGAAATGTTATACGCTTTTTTTTGTCAGCTTTCTAATATAAACCGGGTTTTAAAAAAGCTCCTAAATATCCTTGATTGATCTACTGAATGGAATCTGATTCCTCTCCTACTCAGCATCACCTGCTGCTGCTTCCATTCATTCTGGCAAAGAACTTTCAGAGACTTTGGAGGTAAATCTTTGACCCACCTCACAGAAATATTGCCAACAATGAAGAGATTCTGCCGAAACATTTGGTGAGCGACACAAATGTGTGAAGAACAATGAGAACAAATCCCAGGTTAGTGATGGTTCACAACTTGTGAAAATGAAACATGAGTCTACCTCCCAATAGTGATGATCACACTACAGCTCTTCCAGAAGCCAACCTCACTATGGGCACTTGGGAGCTCTTCATCCCACGCCTGAGTCTCAAGACAGCCCATGCAGGCTGGGAACTAAGTGCCAGCAAACAGGTTATCTTGCGGCAGCAGCAGGGTATATCAAGGGTTGGTCTATGAACCACATCTGGTCAAAAAGCTAATGTGTTGTGCTTATCAAAATGGCAATTTTGAAACGCGCAAACCCCTCACTCCCCCAAATCACAACTAAACTCTATGAAAATTCATTCTGAATAAATGTTCTTTGAAAGCTACAAGTGACCTCAGTAGACAGATACTGGACGGCTAGTCATATGGAAAGGGGAAACTTCCATGTGAAAAGTCTCAAAGCCTTCTAGAGCGCTGGAATCAGTAACAGCGAGTGTATATTAGCCACCGAAAATTATTTTCATCAAATTAATTTAACAAATTTATATTTTGAGAAAAAAAAACTTTATATTTCTTTCTAAGTTTATTCTGCAAAACTAAGGAAATAAAAGTTAATATAGCTTGACATTTAAAAGTCAGGTCACTTTTATTATTAAAATAACGCAGGCACATCCAAACACTACCAACATGTATAAATTTTAAACTTTTAACATAGGTCCAGCTGGCATGCCTCAGTGGTTGAGTGTGGACTTATGAATTGACCTATGAACCAGGAAGTCGAGGCAGCCAATCAATGATTATTGATAGTTCTATCTCCTTCTCTCTTTCTGCCATCCTCTCTCTGAAATCAATTTAAAAATATATATTTTTAAAATAGTAAATGTTAGCCAAAACTGGTTTGGCTCAGTGGATAGAGCGTGGTCTGTGGACTGAGCGGTAACAGGTTCAATTCCGATCAAGGGCATGTACATTGGTTGCGGGCACATCCCCAGAAGGGTGTGTGCAAGTGGCAGCTGATCGATGTTTCTCTCTCATCGATGTTTCTAACTTTCTGTCCCCATCTCTTCCTCTCTGTAAAAAAATCAATTATTTATATATATATAAATTTCAGTCCTAGCCAGTTTGGCACAGTGAATAGAGTATCAGCCTGGAGACCAAGGAGGGGTCCCAGATTTGATTCTGGACAAGGTCACATGCCTGGGCTGTGAGCTCAATCCCCAGTGTGTGTGTGTGTGTGTGTGTGTGTGTGTGTGTGTTGGGGGGGAGGGACATGGCACGAGGCAGCTTATCAATGCTTCTCTGTCATTGGTTTTTCTCTCTGTGTCCCCTTCTTCCTTCCTCTCTGAAATCAATGAAAATATATTTTAGAAAAATATAGTTTTTAATATAAATTTTTAAGGGAGGGCAAATTCTCTGGCATGTGAACTATATCTAAAGCCATTACTGTAAAAACAACAACAACAACAAAAAATCTCCCTAACACCAAGAGATACCTGCTTAAAACTTCATGAAACAATGATAGGACCACAATTTGTGTACCAAGCCCCCATTAACAGATTTATCATAGCTTTCCTTCCCCCTGAAAAAAAGTTGCAACATGCCTCTTTTCTGTGTATTCTCTTGCACAAATCACCAAGATACCTTCCCAGTTGCAGAGTCCTGGGAGGAGCATACAGTGTATGTCCACTGGACATGCTCACAGTTCCTGACAGACTGCCCTTCTACAGAGACGGCTGCTCCAAGTTACCCTCAGGCTTCGGGTAGGAGGCCCCCTCCCATGTGTCCATAGCATGGTTACCAAACACTTTAATATAAGCTTTCCATAATGTCAAAATTACTTTTTAAGGAGATAGCAGAAGGGGTGGTTACTTTTTCAAAAGGAAAAAGTAATCTCCATATGGTATATTTTCACACAGCACCAAAAGATCTTTGATCTGTTCTAGCCCTCTAACTAAGAGTGACCATGTAAAGGAATATAAAACAAAAATAAGGACATTTGTAACACCTTAATCAATAAGTTCAAAAAACAACAACAACACACACACCATGGAAGCATCATACCACATTTTGCTTATCCACTTAATCTTAGAGGTAATTTCACATCAACATACACTAAACTACCTCCATTCTCTTTTCACAGTTATAGATCATTCCACTAATCTAGCCAGTCCCTTACTGTGGAAAGTCTTCTTGGTTCCTGCTTTCCGAAGTTATAATGCTTTAAGAATATTCTGGAGCAAATTTATCTTAGTATATATGCAAGTGTTCAGTCAGATATACTCTCACAACTGGCACTGGCCGAACGTGTTTTCACACCTTCAGATGTTCAATTATCCAGGTGTATCAGGATTACTTAACCCGCCGTCTCTTTAGTTCTGAGTGAAAGTAAGCACCTGTTACAGGATTAGAAGCCTGCTAGGAAATATTCCTCACCCGTTTTCTATTATGCTATGTCAACTATGATGAATTTTATATATAGCAGGTCCTTATAACATCATTTCATTAAACATCCATGAGATGCTATAGGAACTTTACTCTTGCTTATATCTACTATTAGCCTACGGTAAAGTTGGCTTCTTTTTATATCATCTCACTAGTCACAGAACCTACCAACGTTAAGTGAAGACTTAATGTAGGAAGGAAACTAGCCCATCATCCATATATACAAATATTTTGCCTCGGTTTATTGTTTAATTTTATGTATGGGAATTTTTCATAAAATAGTATCTTAAGTTTTCATATAGACTAATGCATCCGTCTTTCTCATAGCTTCTATGCTTTATAATAGCTGAAGATGACAAAAACAAATTTAATTTCTTGGGGCTCCAACTTGGTATTTTTCCAACTGGCTAATCCAGTTTCCAACGCTATTCATTAAAAACCCATCTTCTCTATTCTGACTGAACATATACCTCATAATAAATCCAATTACTATTTATATTTCAATCTCTTTCTGTAGCCTCAATTTCTTCTATTTACCTAGTCTGATATTAAATTAATCAGGCCATTTAAAAAGTACACTGACCTTCTGACTTAGTAGAAATGCTAAGGTTTGTGATCCAAATAATATATTAACTAAAACTGAGATTTCAACCTGTGTCTCTGTATATTTATCAGTTTACTAAACCTGATATCCCCAGGTAACAGCCTCTTTATATAATCATTTTTAGGTTATTGGAGAATTAAAAATCATAACATAGAAAATTACCATTTCTAAGTCCCATCTATTAGTTGAACTGTTGCTAGACATTCAAAGATTCAATGCTGAGAGCACACTGCTATTAAAGAATATATTTTGGGGGGGAAATTCTCCATTCTAATCACTTTTTAAGATTACTGGCTTAACCAGATTTACTCCAGCAACAATATATCCTTTAAAATGTCCTTTGAGGGGGAAACGTCTTTCTTGGGTTTCATTTTTTCAGTCTTCAACTCAGGAAACTGAATGGCATCAAACCCTTCTGATGACTTCTGCTCATAATAGTGTTGACGGATTAGGGGGAAAAATTAAAACAACTCTAAATCATGCATTCTCACAAGGGAAGGGGTAAAACTGGCCTTACGGGCGGGGGGGGATCTAAGGTATTACAATGGTTGTAGCAGGAAAGAATCACAGTACATAAACTGACATGCAGCATGGATTATCATGATATCACAGAGGGAGCGGGGCCGAATTCAGGGGGAAAAAATAAAATAAAAAAGATTCCTTTCGGATAAAATAAAAATTGTGAAATGTCATTTTATAACCACTAAATTGCAAAAATTTAACAGTGTGATAATACCAATGTTGGTAAGGATGTATACACCTCTATTGTGGGTGTAATTGATATAGCCACTTTATCAAACAATAGAGAGAAAAAAGAAAAGAATTATCTTAGAAGGATGAACATGGGCATCCCTTACAAACTACCTCTCCTAGGAATATATCCTAGCTAATAGAATATACCCTAGAAAAATCCTTGTACACATGCACCAAGGTGATATTCAAGAATAATTATACTCTTCAGAATAGCAAAAAACACTAATTTTATCTATGAATAAAGAATGGATAGTTTAAGCCATACTCAATCAATAATCAAAACAAAATACCCAGCAAAATGGGTAAATAGAAACACTACTGAACGAAAAAATAGTTAACAACTATCTACACTATGAAACTATTTTAAAGCCTCAAAGACAAGAAATAAACATAATCTTCAAGGAATCATAAAAATATGTAATAAAAATATTTTTAAAAGGAAATGACACAAAGTATAGAATAGTGTTGGAGAGGTAGACACACAGCAGACACAAAATGATATTGGCCAAGTTCCAGTCCTCAGCTAGAGTGATAGAATAACAGGTATCTATTTTGTTTGTTTCATAACTTACTTATTTTGCATTATTCCTATTAGTTCAATATTTGGCTCTTCAAATAGGGACTAATTAACACCAAATAAAACTTACATCCAATTCAAAAAACAGGTCCCTTTCTTTACTTGCGATTTCATAATCTGCTCGGAGGGCCAAGTCGTGGATTTTGGTACATTCTCCTAAATCCATGCGCTGTAAGAAACAAACAGAAGTTTACCCACAAAAATCTACCCATTAGAAAGCACATGCTCTGGCATCTCAACGGTCAATAATATAAACAATACTTTTAATATTAAATATTAATAATATTTAATAATAAATATTAAATCTATCATAAGAAAATTAAGCAATAGAATATGGCTGAGAAGCCTTATTTTTCTTTTACCATTGTGACTACAGAACTGATGCATTTAACAAGTGTAAAGGTTTATATCTCTTTTAGACCCAGAGATAACTGGACAAATGAAAACATTAACTTTGCCAACTTTATTTTTGCATCAGTCACAGAAAAAAAATTTCTATTTTTTTAATAGCAGAATTAGGAGTAGGAGTGGCAAGAAAACCCGAGTGTCCCGATAGCAACAAGCTTCTAGTCCTAGGCATCCCTTCATGCAATCTTGACTACTCAAGATGCTCACATTGCAGAGACAAGAAAAGGAAAGAGCAGACGGAATTCAGGTTTTGGCAATTACAACACAACCTAACACTTGGCTTTTGTGTAGCATTTTGTATTCCAAAGGGAAGAAAGCAGAATAGGTTGATTCAGAGCCAAATGAATCCTCCATTCTCTTAACCTGGTAAATGACCCTGGACATATAATTGGGCCACTCAGTTGCCCTTTTGAGAAACAAAAGACTCTTTAAAACGCACACATATACACACACACACACACACACACACATACACACACACACACACACAGACACTTGATTTTTTTTTTACAGGGAGGAAGGGAGAGGGATAGAGAGTTAGAAACATCGATGAGAGAGAAACATTGATCAGTTGCTTCCTGCATACCCCCTACTGGGGGTGTGCCAGCAAGCAAGGTACATGCCCTTGATTGGAATTGAACCTGGGATCTGTCCAGAGGCCAATGCTCTATCAACTAAGCCAAACTGGTTAGGGCCCTGCACAGTTCTTATGTAAATCCTGAGTACAAGACTGCACAGACACAAACACCGCCTCTGACATCTAAACAGCAACAGGGAAGTTTGTATACTGAGGATCATGCTTATCAAATAATAGAGTTAGAGTTAACAAAACCTAAAATCCAATGAGACAACTCCTAACTGGTAAACAAAAAATGATGGAACCCAGGAACTCCTTTGAGCTCAAATTGTGTTCATAATGATATCAAAACCTTCATGGGTTGTAAAATCCGTAACATTTTAGGAAAATTAGAGAGGCTCACAGTGCCTGGCTCTTGGGGCCTATCTTATAGAAGGTATGTGCCATACTCACTAACAAAATATCCTTCAGCCCTAGCCAGTTTGACTCAGTGGATTGAGCATCAGCCTGCAGACTAAGGGTCCCGGGTTCGAGTCTGGTAAGGGCATATGTCTGGGTTGGGGGCTCAATCCCCAGGGTGTGCAGGAAGCAGCCTATCCAAGACTGTCTCTCATCACTGATTTTCTCTCTCTCTCCCCTTCCTCTCCGAAATTAATAAAAGTATATTAGAAAAAAAAAAAATATATATATATAGATGTCCCCTTCAGTATCACCAGTGACAGTAATAATGTCAGTAAGCTGCCTAGCATGTTTATCTTCATTTCTACCAAAGATGGATTCTTACATTTAAATGCTAAAACCCTTTCTCCTTCATTATTCTTACTCTGAAGTCATATGTAGCTCATGTATTTTGGTTACACAGAGGATCTAAAGGTAGAGCAATAGTGGTTCTAGAAGCTAAAGTTGCAACTAGAATCACTGTCTCTGTAAAGCGAACTTTTGCTTCATTCACTCTTTTAAGTACTAAGATTATTTAAAATACAGTTCCCACAAATGCCGAGACTGGTTTAGCTCAATGGATGGAGCGTTGGCTTGGGAACTGAAGGGTCCCGGGTTCGATTCCGGTCAAGGGCATGTACCTTGGTTGCGGGCATATCCCCAGTAGGGGGTGTGCAAGAGGCAGCTGATCGATGACTCTCTCTTCGATGTTTCTAACTATCTCTCTCCCTTCCTCTGTACAAAATCAATAAAATATATTTTAAAAATAAATAAATAAATAAAATAAAATACAGTTCCCACAAATAAAACTATGCGTTTTAGCTGAAAAATTAATGGCAGCTATCAGAAATACTTAAAAGCTAATGAAGTCTTGCCCTGGCCAGTGGTTAGAGCATTGGTCCACTCACCAAAGGATCAAGGATTCAATTCCCTGTCAAAGGCAAGGGTAAGTACCTGGGTTTCAGGTTAGATCCCCATGGGGGAGTGTAAAGGAGGCAACCAATTGATGTTTTTGTCCTTCCCTTTCTCCCTTCCACTCTAAGATAAGATAAATAAAATAAAAGTTAATGAAGTAATCACCACAGGAAGCACTAAAACCTTAAGTGCTAAAAATTTTAAGTGCAAATCAATTTCCACTCTAAAAACTTCCAAATGCCAAGAAAATTTTTACATTAGGGAACCACAAATGAAGCAAAATTCACCGCTGTCTTCCTTGGGGTGAGAGCCCCAAGCTAAAGTAAGCAGGACAGGCCTGAGTGCCATGGTTACTCTCTGGAAGGATTAGTATTTTTCCCACTTTGCCAAGGAGGCAGGGCAGTAGCAGCTAACTACCCTGGCAGCTAAACACCAAACAGAACTGAAACATCACACTCATTAGATCCTTCCAAAATATCCCAAGTGGCTGTTAAATCTAGCCTGTCAGGCCTTTTTTACTCACAAACACCAGTGTTAGCTAGTGATGACACTGCTAACAGGAAAAGACAATAACGGTTTCTTCCAGGACTTTTGGAAAACAAAGTTCTTCCACTGAGACAAGTTATACTACTTTCCCTCCAGCTATTTTATTCTCCCAAATTTACTAACCAATATTATATTTTTCCATTAGGTCCCAATAAAATTATTACTTCCAACACTCTTTGCCTTACCCTAATGACAGGATATAGTTTTGAACAAAAACTTGGGCCTGGCGTAGCCCTTAGCAGGCTGATGGTTATAACCACTTTCATCTTGCAGCGCCACTCTACAGAATTATATTCATTCCAATTTAACACAAACTCCCCATAAGACCCATCCTTCAACTCTACCCTCACCTTCCACTCCCATGTAGCCCACACCCAAGGAGGTTCAACCTTTACTACAACCTCCCTTTGAATTCCCAATCCTCATCCTAATGGATTCTTGGCAACTCCTGAGATTTATTTTCTTAATAGGTAGCCTATTTCTTTTATTTTTAAAAAAATATATTTTATTGATATTTTACAGAGATGAGGAAGGGAGAGAGATATAGAGCCAGAAACGTCGATGAGAGAGAAACATCGACCAGCCGCCTCCTGCACACCCCCCACTGGGGACGTGCCCGCAACCAATGTACATGCCCTTGACCAGAATCAAACCTGAGACCCTTCAGTCCGCAGACTGATGCTCCACCACTGAGCCAAACCGGTTTTGGCTCCTGAGATTTATTTGCATCTTCACATGAACATGTCTCCTTCTCCAAAGACTGCTCCTCCTCAGACTGCTCCTATTGAGATGCCCCTGCCCAACCTGTCACCAGAGTGAGACGGATCAGTCCGTGGCTTCTCATAACTCAAATGATTCCACAGCCTCTGCCTCCTTCTCCCCACTCACACCAGTCCAGATACACCAGTGGCATTCCTGCTGTCCTTTATCTCTACCCTCTACCCAGAACATTATATCCTCAAAACCAGGCACGTTTTGTGCCGGTCAAGCCTTTCTCACCGGTCAAGCCTCTATTCCAATGTCCCTAGAGTCCTTACCTTATCACTCTATCTAGAATAGTCCATTGCCTACTCATTATTTATTGTATGTTCTTTCACCATTAGATGAGAGCAAAGATTTTGTCTTATTGGCACCATATCCTCAGTGTCTGTCTGGCACAGAGAGTAGGTGTCCAGTAAATGCTTGGTGAATTAATCTATACCTAACACAATAAACATTGGTAGGAAATGGCCTCATTCTGGTTATTTTTCTCACTAGCCTTCTAGAACAATGCTACACAGGGATCTGATTAAGAAAAACATCATTGGCCCTAGCTGGTTTGACTCAGTCGATGGAGCATTGGCCTGCAAATGAAAGGCCCCTGGATACGTTTCCGGTCAAGGGCACATGGCCAGGTTGTCGGCTTCATCTCCAGTGGGGGGCATGCAGGAGGCAGCCCATTAATAATTCTCTGTCAACACTGATGTTTCTCTCTCTCTCTCTCTCTCTCTCTCTCTCTCTGAAATTAAATATATATATATATACTAAAAAGAAAAACATGGAGGCCACGGGGGCATAGGGTACTAACGAGACAGAACTGAACCTCACATCACCCTGTTTGGCCCCGGAGGATGGCTGGTTAGCCAGACACGGGTAAGATTCCTCAGGGAAGGAACAACCTAAGACAGCACAGTCAAAGAGGGGCCATCAGGAGAGAACCTGGGGGTCAACTGAGGTGGGGCACAGACCCACACCCCTGCTGAGGGAGTCTCCTGCCCCCATGGGACCCGGTAAAAGACAGAGACATGGCTGACAGCAGCTGCACTCTCACTATAACAAGACTTGTTTGAGTTGTCTTGTACCCATGGTAGTGGGTTTTTGATATCTAAATCCAGCCTACCACCAGGAATGCTTAGGGCCTACTCAAGAAGGCAAATAATCCTTTCCACTAATATTTACACGGTAAAATAAGATTGTTTTAGAGTGATAAATTTGACAGTAAAATAGTAGACAAGTTTTCAGGCTGATTTAAATTGGTTAATTGACATAAGTGAATATTCTAGAAAAATTAATTGTACTGGACAAAAGCTGTTCCTAAAGTGTTAACCAAAATTTTTATTGGTAGTTCATTTCATGATAAAATTTCACAACAGGAAATGAACCTAAGGTAGTCATATTATAGTGCAAAAAATTAAAATTTAAAAGCTATCAAGACTTACAAAATTTTCAAAAGCCTCCTAATATTTAAATCAAAAAAGGGGGAAAGTAGAAGAATATCATATAAGGAAAAATATCCTGTAAGTAAATTACATCTAGAAAATTTGTACTTTAGAAAATTAATTGTAATGCTAACAGCAAGACACCCATGAAAAACACACATGGTGTCAAAACAAGCCAGAAGAAAATCATTTGGGCAAAAAATGAAAAAGGACCCCAAGTCAAATTTATAGAAAATATTCCTTTATTAACTTTTGGTGGAGAATATGTTTGTATATTTTCAGAAAACAACTCCGAGACCATGTGGACTCTGGAAACAGAGAGGAATTGACAGGACTACTCCAGCCATGAAGACAGAGGAGAAGCAGTCCAGGGATGGAAGACGCTGATGACGACTTGCCATAATAGAAGACAGCAGCTGTGTTATCACTGCAGATTGCCCAGGACCAAACCAGAGAGGGTCGGACCTGCATTACCACCATTTGTCCACCAACCAGATCTGAAATACCATGGCTGACATATACACATAAGGAACTGTTTTGACATTGAAATTGGGACTTAAAGTAACTGTTGGCCCAGAAAGAAACTCACTACAGACTGATTCATTTACCTTTCAGCATAACCATTATTGCTTGTCTCATTTTTGATTCTTACAAGTGTATTTCCAGTAGGACATGATCTCACTCATCTAGGGGAAACGGTGAACAACATAGACTGATGAACAAGAACAGACCCAGAGATAAGAAGCCATGGGTCAGACTGTTGGACCTCAGAGAGAAGGTGGGGATAAAGGGGAGAGATCAACCAAAGCTTGTGTGCATACGTATGAGCCTAACCAGAAGTCAAGGACAATAGAGGAGTGGGAGTATGACTGGGGAGGGTGCAGGATTGGAATGGAGGGTTGAAGATAAATATGTAATACCTTAATCAATAAAGAAATTTTTTAAAAAGAAAAAAAAGAAAGAAAAACCTGGTTGAACTGCTTCACTCTGGTTCATGTCCCTCATCTCCAAACTTCTCCCATTAAGATCTATCAACAATTCCAGGTTATGAAACTTCTCCTAGAGGGGAATCCTATAGCTGAACTGTTTATAACTAATGGAAGCCAGACATCTACATTGATGGATTGCTTTGGCTCTGAATTTGCCTATTCTGCTTGACTTTGATACACCAAGAAGCAACACAAAAATCTGTAGCAAATACGAGTTACAATGCTTTCCTATATAAGATCAAAGTGCAGGTAAGCTTCAGGTAACAGTCACAAGGTTTGGCATTAATTTCCTATTTGCTGTCAGAAGAGCCAGCTTAAGAAGCTTTAATACATCTAAGCAGTTTCCCACTACAATGATATTAATAAAGCAATGATTAATCACTAAGAAAACGTTCACTAGTACATGCACATTTGAGCCTTAAAATGAAGACAGTTTTTATATCCACGAGGTGGCTGTGAAATCTTAAAATTAGATAGTTATAGATCCTACACTCTTTGGTCTTCTTAAATCCTAATTTTGAATAAATGCAATTCTACAAAATTAGCACTTACCCGTTTTGTTCATCTGAAGTGAACTTAAAATTTTAGGGGTCTATAATCATTGAATCATGTGTTACTTTCTTGAAAAGTTGCATAACACAAAACTAGAAAAATCAATGCTATTCCAAACTGATTTTAGAAGAAATGTTATCTTGTTTGACTCTACAAAAACCTGATAACTTTTTGCCTGGCCTGTTTGTCTCAGTGATTAAGCGCCAACCTATAAAGCAGGAGGTCAGTTTGATTCCAGGTCAGGGTACATGCCTGCTTATGGGCTGGATCCCCGTAAGGGGTGTCCAGGAGGTAGCTGATCCATGTTTCTATCATCTCTCATCAATGTTTCCATCTCTCTCTCTCTCTCTCTCTCTCTCTCTCTCTCTCTCTCTCTCTCTCTTCCTGTCCTTTCCTCTCTTTTTGAAAAAGCAATAAAAACTGATTGTTTATTTTTTAAAAATTTCATTAAACTAAAAGAACCTATAATTTTGAAGGGGCAATAAAAGTGATTTCTGCCGAAATCGGTTTGGCTCAGTGGATAGAGCGTCAGCTTGCGGACTGATAGATTCCAGGTTCCATTCCAGTCAAGGGCATGTAACTTGGTTGCAGGAGGAGGTGTGCAGGAGGCGGCTGATCGATGTTTTTCTCTCATCGATATTTCTAACTCTCTATCCCTCTCTCTTCCTCTCTGTAAAAACTCAATAAAATATATATTTTTTTAAAAAGTGATTTCTATTTGATAAAGACAGAATTCAACCTGGAAAACTTATATTGCCTACACAGCACCCCAAACCAAGTGTTCTGATGTCTCCCTCCACCCCCCCAAACGTCCCACAAATGCACCTACCGTCCCAGCCAGGATGTCATGAGGGCAGCAGTCCAGAAGGTGACTCTTGCAGACTCGGTCATCTGTAAACTTCACCCTCTGTCTGGTTTCATCTCCTGAAATTTATTTGTGGTTTTAAATAGGACAATACCACGTTAACGACAAAAGCATATCTGGTACCAGTCACCTGGAGGATCTGCAGACTACCAAATATACTGAAAAGCTGATCTAGAGATATTTACAACTGCAGTGGAATACAAATGTTTTTTGATGCTAAATGTATCATGAAGAATCGCATTTAATAAGATCTGACTCAATCATTGTGCCAAAGAAGTCAAGGAGTCAGAAGTAAAAGGCTGAACACCAAAAGGCCACTAGACCCACACATACATGTGGGCAATGATACCAAACCCCATGTTTATCAGAGGGCCATGAATCACCACGTATGACCTAGAGCTGGTAGTTTCCACCAACAAAGCTATTTATTAATCTAATCGTTTTGCTGTGGACAGAATGTGTAGGCAGCATTTTGCTCAAAAATACAAAGAAAGTTTTCAAACTCTACCACTAATAAATAATCTAGACCTAGTCTTCCTATCCCCTTCTCACCCCCACCCTTAAGAAAAAAAGCGTTGGCACCTGGGAGTCACTGTTAACAAGACAATACTTAAAAAAAGAAAAAAGAAAAAAACTTAAAAAAAAAAAAAAAGGCAAAAAGGAACTAGGTTAGTCAATACACACTGTGAGTTCCAACATATACTGTACCCATCTGCATTCTTCAAGACCTCAGCTGCAGAATTTTATGCCCGCTGTTGAAAAGTTTTAAAGGAAAAGTTTTCTTGCCCAACCTGCAGTAAGGAAGTCAGGGGAATGATACATAAAAGTAAAGGCAAAGTGGAATGTGACAAATTTAAAAGCTAATCTGTGTATAGGACACAGAGCTGTGTAATACTAAAGGAGGAATATATTTTAGGATTTGCAAGCATCCAGGATTAATGTAGTGTCTTTTTATGGGAAATGCTCTCTTTCTAAACTACACTTTTAAAGATACGTGTGAAAAAAAAGCAAACACTTTTTTGTTATAACAGCTTAGAAATTGGTTTGTGACTCACGGCTCGATGAACATGAGGCTTTTCTGCAACTCCCTTGCAGATTGATGTAGGCAGGCAAAGATACACTGAACCTTTATAAATAAAATAGAGGGGCCACAATTGTTCAGTTTGTATGAAATAAAAATATGGGAAGCAATTCAAAAGCAACTCAATATACAAAGAAAGCTAAAAAGCACGTTTTCACCTACTGAAATATCAAGTGCAAAGAATTTGCACAGCCCTGCGAATGTGCCAGTGTGAACTTACAACTTCATTACTTCGGTAGAAAAGAAAACACAAACCACAGCAGGTATGTAGTTTTTGCAAAGATGCAACCACTTTCTCCTGAGACAACCATCATGAATGATCTTGCCGCTCCTCCCTACAAGACAACCTAACCTGACGACTGACAAGCGCTGGCTAGACAGAGCCTCTCCTAAGTGGGAAGTGGGCAGGAACCCTCGTAAGAAAAGCTCAATGTACGGCTCTCCTTGCAATGGTACAGAACCAGGACGGAGGGAGTTCGAGGCCCATCGGCTCCCTTGGGGGTAGCTTCTCCCAAGTTGCCGACCACCTGAATCCTATGGTGGCTCCAGCCTTTCGCCAACCGCCCGGTCGGAAATGGCAAGACCATAAATGGGGAAGGGGGATGGAGCCCCGCTGACGGAGCGGGCTCGGAGGAGGAGCTCGCCGAGGATCCGCCGCCGGTGGGAGAAGAGCCGGCCGAGGTCGCCCGCCAGGCGAACCGCTCACACAAAGGCCCGGCGCCTGCCATCGGTGCGTGGGGGAGGGGAAGGGAGGGCGCAGGCGCAGACATTTGCGGCCCCGCTTCAGGCCGCCGGCGGCCTCGCCTCACTCCCGCCCCAGCCAGGCCTGGCTGGCCGCCCCGACTCACCATCCCGGGCCGTGCCCATGAGCTGGTCCAGCAGGGCCCGCATCTGCGCCTGGGCGGACATGGTGACGGGCGGGAGCTGCAGGAACGGCCCTGACAAGGTCTCTCAGTCCGCAGCGGTGGCGACGACGAAGGATGGTCACGTCGGCCTCGAGCCCACTCGGCTTTTTCCCTTCGCGGGGGACGACGGGAGGAAGTACATCAGCGCCGGCGCTTGGCCTGCTGGGAAATGTAGTTCCTGGGTCGGGTGGGTGCAGAATTTGGCTCTGCAGGAGACTGTGATTAAATGGTCCAAGCCAGTTGTCTAAGCAGCGAAGAAAGTCTCTACTCTGATTTTACCCTGGAGCCCAAAACCTATTAACTCTTTTTTTTTTTTTTTTAAAGATACATCGATGTGCCTGCAACCAATGTATATGCCCTTGACTGGGATTGAACGCGGGACCTTTCAGTCCGCAGACTGACGCTCTATCCATTCAGCCAAACCGGTTTTGGCACAAGACCTATTAACTCTACAGAGGCTAACCTCCAACTAAACAAAATAGTAAATATAGACAAACCAAAACAAAATAAATCTCGTGGGTCTTTTTGCTAGCCAGTTTCAAAATTAATGATAGTCTTTAACCTGGACAGGAATCAGGAAGTCCTGCTGGAGGAGCTCTAAATGCCCTATGTGGTGACAGAAAGCTCTATAAGAGAGTTCTAGGTTATAACAACCCTACCACACACTTTCTCTTCCTTCTATAAAAGACTTCCTCTCTATTGCTTACCCAGGAACTTGCACCTGATTCACTATGGTGTCAAGGGCTGTGTTGCAATCCTGACTTTATTTCCAATTAAATATTATTTTTGCTGAAGGAATACCTGGCCGACTTTGATTGTGGTCAACACAGTGAGGGCTCATCTGGTGTCCAGAGAAGACCCTGATAGCTCTCGGCTGGTGAACACACAAAAGTGGTGTCCACAGAGCCAGCTATTTGAGCTGGTTGATTTTCTCCCCTCCGTGGAAGCTTGAGGGTAAGTTTTCTCTAGAGTACAAGCTTCCAGGTGTCTTGTGTTTTAAAGCTCTGTGGGTTTTATTTGGAATCTGTTTAGAGGGTTATTTTTTTTCTTTTTATATTAAAAGGCCTTGTTTGTCTGTGAGCTCTGCCTGATATTTTGGCCTGATTCCAGGGGATTAGGCTGTTTCTTGGGTCTGTATTAGCCATGGACTTGGTTTTTAGATTCTGGTGGTTTGAGCTGTCAGCCTGATTCTGTTCCTATTCTGTTGAAACTGTGTCCTTTAGCCTTTGGCTCTCTCCCAAGCAGGCTGTTTTAATAGAACTACATTGCTTCTCAGCCTATGCCTGACCACTTCAAGCTGGGTTTCTGAATCTGCTACTTCAGCAGGGGGCCCGGACCCCTTATTCTTTGGATCAAATGGTTCTCTTTTTTAAATATATTTTTATTGATTTCATAGAGGAAGAGAGAGGGAGAGAGAGATAGAAGCATCAGTGATGAGAGAGAATCAATGATTGACTGTCTCCTGCACGCCCCCTACCGGGGATTGAGCCCTAAACTTGGGCATGTGCCCTGACCAGGAAATGAACCCACAACCTCCTGGTTCATAAATTGATCTTCAACCACTGAGCCATCTGGCAGGGTTTTATTTATTAATTTTTAGAAGGTGTAGAAAGGAGAGATAAACATTGATTTGTTGTTCCACTTATTTATGCATTCATTGTTTTTTTTTTTTTTTAAATATATTTTATTTGATTTTGTACAGAGAGGAAGAGAGAGAGATAGAGAGTTAGAAACATCGATGAGAGAGAGTCATCGACCAGCTGCCTCTTGCACACCCCCTACTGGGGATATGCCCGCAACCAAGGTACATGCCCTTGACCGGAATCGAACCCGGGCCCTCCAGTCCCCAAGCCGACGCTCTATCCATTGAGCCAAACCGGTTTCGGCAATGCATTCATTGTTTGATTCTTGTATGTGCCCTGACTGGGGATCAAACTCACAATCTTGGTATAAGGGGAGGATGCTTTCAGCAACTGAACTACCCAGGCCAGGTCTGGATCTGACTGTTATAAATGGAACTGGTTGTCTAACCGGTCTGGCTCAGTAGTAGAGCTTTGGCCTTTGGACTGAAGGATCCCAGGTTCAATTCCTGTCAAGGGCATGTACCTCAGTTGCAGACACATTACCAGTAGGAGGTGTGCAGAGGGCAGCTGATCAATGTTTCTCTCTCTCTCATCGATGTTTCTAGCTTTCTATCCCTCTCCCTTCCTCTCTGTAAAAAATCAACAACAACAACAAAAAAATATATATATATATTTAAATATTTTTTAATGGAATTGGTTGTTTTTCAGGCTGCAGGTTGCCTAAGCTAACTGTTTGAATTGTTTAGCAAGTTTGGGCCCTTTCTCTAGAGAAAAGCCTCTGAAAAATGGGGTCTTGGGTATCTAAATATTTCCTTCCTATAGAGCTTCCAGCCAAATTTATGTTTAAAAACCATGGTTCCACCCAGTCGGTGTGGCTCAGTGAGTTGGGCATCATCCCCTGCACCAAAAGATTGCTGGCTCCATCCCCAGTAGGGGACATGCAGGAGGCAGTCAGTCCAGGTTCCCCCCTCACATCAATGTTTCTGTTTCTCCCTCCCCCTTCCTCTCTCTCTAAAAATCAATCAAAATAGCCTGGCCAGCATGGCTCAGTGGTTGAGCATCAAACTCTGAACCAGGAGGACGCAGGTTTGATTCAGGCTCGATCCCCAATAGTTGGCATGCAGGAGGCAGCCAATCAATGATTCTCATCATTGATGTTTCTTTCTCTCTTTTCCTCTACCTTCCTCTTTGAAATCAATAAAAATATATTTTTAAAAAATAAAATAAAAAACAATAAAAATATTTTGAAAACCATGGTCTTTAATGTATATTTTTAACTAAATGGACTATTATGACCAAAAGTAATTTAGAGCATCAATGGCCATTATGGGGAAGTTCCCCCTCAACTTTTATAATGTAATGACTGTTTAGTTCTCTATTTTCAGGTCTGAGCTCCTGTTTTAAAACTATCAGATACACTAAGTTTGTTATGTTTTTAATTTTGCCTTTTTTTTCTGTTAAAATTTGTACCTGTTGCCGGGACCGGTTTGGCTCAATGGATAGAGCGTCGGCTTGGGGACTGAAAGGTCCCAGGTTCGATTCCGGTGAAGGGCATGTACCCTGGTTGTGGGCATATCCCCAGTAGGGGGTGTGCAAGAGGCAGCTGATCGATAACTCTCTCTCATCGATGTTTCTAATTCTCTATCTCTCTCCCTTCCTCTCTGTATAAAATCAATAAAATATATTTTAAAAAAAATTTGTACCTGTTGCTTATTGAACCTGGACATGAGCAATTTGGACCATGCATTTTCCCTCTGGCATTCAACAGGAGGCCCTTAAGAGGCCCTTTCTGGTATCAAGGGACAAAAGGCTTTTTGGAAGGATTTTGGAAGATCTATTGATCAGCTATGCCTTCAAAGATCTCCATCAAAAGAGGGAAATGTCAAAATTAATAAAAGATTTAAACCAAGATAAGAATCCTTTTAGAAGCCTTGGTTGGTTAGAGTTTCATCCAGTACACCGTCTGGTATATCAAAAGGATTAGGGTTTGATTCCCCCCAGGGAAGATGCCTAAGATGCAGGTTCAATCTCTGTTCGAGGATACAGGAGGCTACTGATTGATGTTTCTCTCTTGCCAAAAAAATCAATAAAAAAAAAAAAAATCCTAACCTGACCAGTGTGGCTCAGTGGTTGAGCATCCACCTAGGAAATTACAGTTTGATTCAGGTCAGGGCACATGCCCGGGTTGCTGCTGATCAAAGCAGTACTGAAATGGCCAAGTATCCTCAGAAGTCAATGCCCCGTGGGGGGCATACAGGGGGCAGCTGATCAAAGATTCTCTCTCATCACTGATGCTTCTGTTAGAAAGAAGGCCAGCACAAAAACCAGAGCTTAGGCTCACAGTTTTGCACGATTGGCTAATCTAAAGGAAAAAGGCAGGGGTTGACTTTTGCCATTTCAAAATGGCAGCCCCCAGGGGAGCTGCAGGTTAGGAAAGCCAAAATGGTGGCTGCCTAAACTCCCTTTTCTGACAGAAAAGATTACATGTTTATTCCCACAATTCCCTCCCTTTTCTTTATTTATATTTTTGTTGACTTCAGAGAAGAAGGGAGAGGGAGAGACAGAGAGAAACATCAACGATGAGAGAGAATCATTGATTGGCTGCCTCCCATCCGCTCTCTATTAGGGATGGAACCCACAACCCGGAGACATGCCCTTGATGGAATCGAACCTGGGACCCTTCAGTCCACAGGCTGACACTCTAGCCAGTGAGCCAAACCGGCTACGGCCCCCTTTTATTATTTAACTCTTTTCCTCAAACTCCGCTAACATTCATTGAGTTTTATGCTCTGCAGTGTCTAGGAGGATGAGATTATTTTGCTGTTTGGTCAATGCAATTTCATTTAACCTTTGGATAAGGCCTCTCATACATGGGATGATACAACATCCCACCTCTGTAACTCCTAACACGATTATCAAAGAGGTGAATATGGATACCATCATCCCCTTCCATTGTCTGAACCATTGCTCTAGTAGATTGGGGGAAGGATCCTCAATCCCAGGATTCTCAGCTAACTCATGGCCTATAGTTATTAATCCCTGCAGGGCCTTAGTAATGGTTCCAGCTGTAGCTGTGTTGTTAGGGATGAATGTACAACACTGGCCTCCCAACATTACACATATTCCTCCTTTTTCTTCCAGAATCACATCCAAGGCCAATCTATGCTCCCGTGTAATCCTGCTGGTAGCATCTAGTTGTTCAGCTCTACCTATACCTGTTCATCTCATGTATAGTTAACAAACTTTTTTTTATTATAGTAAATACTGGAGGCCTGGTACAAGGATTTGTGCACTGATGGGGTCCCTTGGCCTGTCCTGCACCCTCTCAAAATCTGGGAGCCCTTGGGGGATGTCAGACTGCCAGCTTCAGCCTGATTCCCACAGGCCAGGCTGAGGGGCCCCATGTGTAACAGGTCTCTAG